CTTGCTTGCATTCAGAGGTTTAGTCCATTGTTGTCATGATGGGAAGCATGGCGGCACACAGGCAGGCATGGTGCTGGACAAGGAACTGAGTTCTACATCCAGATCTGCAGGCAGCAGGAAGAGAAAGAGATGGCCACTCATGTTGGGAAGGGCCAGCTGTTTGACCTAGTTCACAAATTCAAATGCAAATCTTCCCCAGAAACACCCTCACACACACCTAAAAGTAACATTTGCTGGAACAACCATGGCCCTGTTGACAAAAGAGACCTGTTACAGTACACCTTCGTCTGGAGTATGGGTCACTACAGCTCTTACAGAGTGACATTTGTCTAGACAAGAGATTCTCTTAGCAGAGTAAGAGATCAAAGATTGGCAGGCAACACCAGCTCTGCAGATGGAGCCCCCCACCCCCCTAGAGGATTACTCCCATCATGCCATGTCTGTGAAAGATCTTCCTCTTTCAGGGGAGTTGGGAAACACTTCAAGTTTTAATGATTGTAAAAGAATGCTCAAATATCTGGAAGAATCTAGACAAGTCTGTTTCATCCACACGGTCAATCACGGTGACTCAAGTGACAGGGTGACTTAGCCCTTCCCTCTGCCCAGCAAAGGGGTCCCACAATTTCCTCATCTCTTGACAGGCAGCTTTGAGGGTCATCAACAACTGCCAAATGCAAATATATTATGGCCTCCTTGATAATCTTCCGCTCCTGTGTTAGGGCAAATTGAGAAAATGAGTCTGGGCATACAAAAACACAATAAATTAGCTGAATGCTGGCAACACACAAAAGTAGAAGTTATTATCCCAGTAACACACAATGAAGGAACTCTTCATTTTAACAGGAAAATTATAGGCTAGCATCCATGAAAGCATGGGAATTTAGGTTCTCTTGTCCATTTCTGGATGGTGCCCAGGGTGCTCACAACCATGTAATTTGTTAGGACAAACAATTAAAAAAATTTTAACCTATTTTTTAAAGTAAAAAATGCTTTTTTCTCCTCCTGTAATTATTCTCAAGTATACCCCCCACCCTGTGTGTGTGTGTGTGTGTGTGTGTGTGTGTGTGTGTGTGTGTGTGTACTGGGGGTTGAACTGCTGGCTTTGTGCATGCTGTGTAAACACTCTACCACTGAGCTATATTCTTAGCCCCATTCTCAAGTCTTTTTTTTATTACTTTTATTTTATATGTATGAGTGTTTGTCTGCACATATGTCTGTAAACAACATGTGTGCCTGGTGCCCACAGAGGCCAGAAGAGTGCATTGGATCCCCTAGAACCGGAGTTATAGATGGTTGTGAGAAAGACACCTGTTCTTAAATTTTACTGAGCTATTTCTCATCACTTTGTAAACAGGAAGCAGAGAAATGGAGTGAGTCTCCTGAAACATTTTCAGATGAAGTACCAATATTTAATAGAAATGGGGTTATCAAATTCCTGGTCTAGAATGCTAAGTTCAGACTATTGCCTAGCCTCCAAAGTTTCCAGAGAGAATAGAACGTCAGACAGTGACTGCGGGTGGGGGTGGGAGGCCCTGTCCTAAGTATGGGCAGCATTTTCCAATAAGTTGGAGACGTGGGTAGAATAAAAGAAGAGAAAGCGAGCTACAGCATACGAGTTCCACTCCTCTTGGGTGAGTGTATCTGTGACTTTTGCCATTGCCAGAGACATCACAACGCTCAGCCTCTGCAGCCATGCAGTGTAGAGTCACACCAGAGAGCTTCCAGGCCTACAGCATCCAGCTGGGGCTTCTAAAGCTTCCTGCCTGGTTCTCTACCTCTCAGGCAAGCAGATGGCCACTGGTGGATGATCCAGCCTCCTAAGGTGTAAACCAAGCTAGTAAGTCCCCTTTTGAGAGATTGTGGTAATTGGGGAAAGAGAGAGTCTATTGGTTTTGTTCCCTAACGAATCCTGACTAATACAGATGACTGCAAAGAAAGCTATTGTTCTGATTTATCTGTTGCTGTAATAAACACCAAGTGACCAAAAAGCACCTTGGAGAGGTCCCAGAAAGAGATTTCACAGCATTGTAACAACTTGCCAAACATCTTGAAGATGAGGCTAGAGCCGAGTTGATAATGGTGAGCCAGAAACGAGCATTGTTTATATAACAGGTTCTCAACTTGTGGGTCATGACTATTTCACAGGGGTTGCCTAAGACCATCGGAAAACACAGATATTTATATTATGGTTCATAACATTAGCAAAATTACAGCTATGAAGCATCAATGAAAATAATTTTGTGGCTGGGAGTCACCACAACATGAGGAACTGTATTAAAGGATCACAGCATTAGGAAGGTTGAGAACCACTGGATTATCCAGACTTCTCGCCCTCTACTTAAAGCTAAACTTCATCTCATGACCCCAAAGATGCACTGTGAGTCACTAGACCTCTTTATTCCTCTTTCAAATGTGGACACATTGAGTAACTATCCCCTTTTCCCCTGATTTTTGTTATTACTTTGTCTGTTTAATTGGTCTGTGGAGGACAGGTAATGGAGTCTGGCTTGTTAGGGCTGCCAGGATCCAGGCTCTGACCACAGCAACATCCGTAACAAGAAGCAATCATCAGTGAGCTCTGAGCAGAGGAGCGGGGTGGTGAGGTAAAGAGCGTGAAGGCGGCAGGAGTGTGTGAGAGGGGCTGGAGAGGAAGGAGCAGAGGGCACTGTCGCAGGACGCCACAGCAAAGAATGTGTGTCTATACCCTAACCTCCCGGTGCTGGGAAAGGCAGGCTGCTGGAGGGAATGGCTTTAACTAACACCCACCCTCCACTTCAGCACTTGAAATAACCATCCAGCTGAGTGCGTACATCTAGGCTGATCTGAAAAGCGATGCCAGCATTCCTTCACAATGTCACCTCGTTATCACGTCACACTGCTTATTTAAAACAACTCTGTGTGGTTGGAGAGTCACCTGGGCGAGGGATTCCTCCCCTAGAGCACCTTCTCACAGAACCAAATGGATCGCAGAAGAAGGGTGAGTGGGGTTTTAATGACCTCAGGGCACAGGGAAAAGATAGTACACCTTGCAAGAAGGAGCAAGGCCCGCGAATCACGAGAACAAAGAACCTGTCACTCTGAGTCTTGGGTGTAGCTTTTATTGAGATTGGTAAGAAACTCTGTTCTGCCCAGGGTGACTCAAAATCTGTGCTCCATCTTGTCAGGCCAATTGAGGAAGAAATAACTGCATTCCATGATCACTGGCTTAACTTTTCTGTTGGCTCAAGGTTGTTCAGTGTAGCCCAAAACTTGGGTGGATGTTTGATATAAGAAGCTAGTGTGAGAGCCAAAGTTACATTTGGAGTTTTAATGACTATGCCTAAGAGACCCATGAAATAAAAACGCCTCTGATCTGCAAGCCCCTTGCCCAAGGACAGAGAGTTCCTGAAATGCTGGTGGCTGTTGTTTATGGGAGATAACAAGTCACATGTTTTTCACTCCCCTAAACAAGTTTGTTTAACCCATCTATACCGGATATGCTTGATCACATGTGGGCGGGAGGTTCACAGGCTAGAGGTACATCAGGATGTATGCTTGCCCCTGATTGGACCTGATGGGAAATGCAATGAATCATAGGTTTTCCTTCTAAGTCACTGCAAACTGGAATTCTGGGCCATCCATCTGGCCAGTATTTAATTGCAGTTTGCTTCAAATTTGGCTTTAAATTGTGGTAGTGGTCTTATTCTCGATCGAAATTGTGGTAGTGGTCTTATTCTCCATCAATAGGATTAACACTAGTCACATTTATTACCAAATTTACTTTTTTTGTGTTTTTTTTTTTTTATTTTGTTTTACATCTCCTCCCTCCTCTCCACCCAGTTCCTCCCCAGCACCTCCCCTCCGCCACTCCTCCTCCTGACATGGCCCTTCAGACATGGCCCCCCCATGGATATCCATCCAGCCATGGTATATCAAGTTGCCATGAGATGAGGCATCTCCTCTTCTGTTGCGGATGGATAAGGCAATCCCGTGTCGGGAAGAACTGTTTGTGTTGACTGCTCTGTGACCACCAGTGGAGTCTGACCTCAGTTCAAAGAGCAGAGTCCACATTCAGCTGGCGGAGGTGGACAAAGAGTTTCCTGGCAAACTGAGAGGGAGATAGAAAGACACACAAAGGAGAAAAGGAGGGGCCAAGGGGTTGCGTGGTCTTTTTGATCCACGAAGTGGAGAGGGGAAGGATTGTGGCTAGGTCGCTCTGTGGATTTCTCAGGTTTATTCCCTAATATTTATCCCTGAGTTTTATTTTTTTAATAAAATGACAAAAGAAATAGAAATATCTGGCACCCAGTGTGCGGTGACATCACATGGTGGTTTTTAAAACTGCCACTTCCCCTTGTGACCCTGTGCTACCACGGGTCACCAGCTTTTCACGCCAAGGGCTTTTCCTGTTGTGATCTGCACAGCCACCCCACCCCGAACACTCCCACACCCCCACCACCCTCGTCACCCTCACCCCTGGCTCTGCAGCCACCTGAGTCAGCTGCTCATCACTGGCCCTGTCATTCAGGGCATTCAGTGCCCCCACCACTGCATCCTAGCCAAGCATGCTTCTTCTGCTCATTTTCCCCTCATGCCTGCTTCTCAGGCTACTCCCTCTACCTCCCTGCATATCCAGCACAAATACAGGGGGGTGGGGGTGGAGCAATCCAGCTGCTCCTCTCCCAGGCCAGTCCTGTGTGGACAGTACAAGTGCCAAGCCTATATAAAACTAGTCCAGCTGCCTGGTACCCCCCACGCCACCACCGCCATGGCCCTCACCCTCCACAGCCCCTGCTTGGGGCTCAGGCTTTTACTACTGCTGCCATGGCTATAAGCTGCTGAAGGGACCAGCCTTGCATGACCCTGCTGAGCAGCCACAGCTGGCCATCACTAGCAACAGGTGGGGCAGTCCTGTCCCACGCTGCTGTGTCCCAGTCACATGGATTTCTCCTAACAGTTCTCTATGTTAGCTGTTCAAGCAGCTCAGTCCCCCTCCCCACATGGTGCAGCCCATGAGCAGCCACAGTGGTCCCTAGCTCATGTGTGGGGGTTATCGTGGCTAACTGGGGCACCCTGACACCAGCTGCCATCACTGCCACCACTCAGGTTGGAGCTCATTTGTGCCTGGCTGGTCCCCAAGCTGCTAGGTGCTGAGCCAGTGCCATTGGCTGCTCTTGTATTTGGCTCTCTCCCTTCATAACAGCTCCCCTCCTGCCTCAGTGCTATGCCTGCCCTCTCCACTGGCACAGTCGGACATCACATGGTCACTGCAGCTGATTACCCTCATACAGCTCCACCTACACTATCAGCAGCATCAGAGCTGGTAAGACACTTGGGAATTTTTAATCGGGGAATCAGGTTTAAAAAAAAAAAAGAGGAAAATCTTTCCCATGTTAAGAATTAGAAATATCACAATGTAGGGGTTTAGGACTATGTTTAGTGCTACTATGGATGGCTTGCAAATGGAAGTAATAAATGAGGGGATAAACAAATTAGCTGAGATTGGCATAATGTTAATCATAATTATTATTGGCTTAGTAATTCATATTTTAGCCTTTAAAAAGTGGTTTGATAACTGTGCCAAATATGATAATCCGACTGATAAGATACAAACCTTAGAAAGCCTTACTATTGATAAAGTATAAGCTTTAGAAATACTTATTACTGATAAGATACAAGCCCTGGAAGACTAATGAAAAGAAGAGAAATCTTCAGACACAATCAGGAATTTAGAGCAGAACCTACCACACCATTGCATTATGAATTGGAAGAGGAGTGGTCCAAGGATATTAGAAAACCAACCTTAATTTATCCAATTACCATAGAAGAATGGCCACTATATGACAGGTATCCCCAAGGCTATGGAGAAACTAACTGGAATCCTGCCAAAGTGTTAGATTTGACATCTCAGGAAGTAATAGCTTCATACGCTATGCATTCACCTTTTGTGAAGCTGATGTTAAATTCATGGGCAACTAGAAACAGAATTATTCCACAAGACTGGAAAGAGTTAGTTACAGCAATATTGAAAGCTGGTCCTCAGTTATAATGGAAAACATGGTGGAGAGAGGGAGTTAGGGCCATAGAACAATGAAGTAGGGCTAGAGGTATTGAAATTTCCCAAGACCAGTTTCTTGTTGAAGACCAGTATGTTGATTTGATGTGGAACAATCTTTGTATACTGTAAATATGCATTGCTTTCATTGTTAATAAAATGCTGATTGGCCAATAGCTAGGCAGGATTTTCAGGTCAGAGAAAACACTGGGAAGGAGGGCAGAGTCTGAGGACTTGTGAGCCAAATAGGGAAGAAGCAACATGGGAAGTTCATAGATGAGGTAAACGAGCCTCGGGGCAACACTTAAATTAACAGAAATGTGTTCATTAAAGTTGGAATTGCTGGCTGGAGACAAGGCTAAGCTATTGGCCAAGCATTTATAATTAATATTAAGTTTCTGAATGGTTATTTGGGAGCAGCTACTGAGACACAGAGAAACTCTGCCTACACTGATTTGGAAAGACAGTCTATATTTGATGATCACACCTTGGCTCTATGCCATTTGGCAGCTTTGAATGCTTGGGACAGAGTTGAAGAATCAGGAAAGAGGACTGAGCCATTTATTAAAATTATACAAGGCCCAAAAGAAGCCTTTGCTGATTTTTTACAAAGATTGCCTTCAGCTGTAAATAGAATGATATCAGATTCAGAAGTTAGGCAAATATTAATTGAATCTTTGGGTTTTGAAAATGCTAATTCACAGCCGGGTGGTGGTGGTGGTGGTGGTGGTGGTGGTGGTGGTGGTGGTGG